TCAAGCTGGCCAAGGGCACAGAGGTCGAACGGTAACGGTGCGGACTTTGGTCGAGCACAAAGAGGACGCACCGTGAACTAACCGCTGACACATTAGATCAAAGATGAAAACTGACTGCTCGCACAAGTATGCACACATATACACTTTCTTTCAAGCCAGTGGGTACAATTTTTAGATCTTTGCGCTCAAGCGGAAAGAGAGCTCAAATTTTCCTGGCACAATTTTTTTTTTGCACTAGCTTCCTAGTGCAAATCCAATGTATGGCAGATACGCATCTTGTTATTCTAATGTCTTTGGTAAAAGGGCATACTAGATTCACTGAAATGTATGTAAAAGGCAGAAGAAAACGTTTCCGACCATATAAAGTACCCGCCCAAACCGGCCAATTTCACTAAACAATAAACAATAAAGCACTTAATTGGTTCCCGTACTGTATACCATCTGCTCAGTATGCGTTTTGATAAACAAATTCTTTGACAACGATAAAGAAATTCTTTGGCAATGGCACTTAGCCATTCATGTAAACAAATCCCAAAGCCTAACCTAAGAAGTTTTGCTTACTCTCTCTGAGGCTTCTCCTCAACTTAAGAATGCAAGAGCAATGTTCTCCCAATACAGCTTCTCTTTAACTTAAGCATCCAAGAGCATCTCCCAAAATACTTTAACATATTTCTTAAGCACAGAGGCTTGGTCACTGACACCATGCTCAGACAACCAGAAAAAAATTCACCCATATTACTAATCAAACCAAGCATACCATCAATACAAAGCATAATCTACCCATTTATTCTAAATTATACAGTTACCCACAGGCTTATGAACAAGAGGTCGAAAGCCAAATACTAGATATGCTTATACAAGGTATTATACATACGTACCAGTAACTCACCTTACAATAGTCCCATCTGGGTGGTTCCAAAAAAACAAGATGCATCAGGCAAACAGAAACTTAGAATTGTAATAGACTACCGAAAATTAATCGAAATAACAGTAGGAGACAGACACCCAATCCCAAACATGGGCGAAATTTTAGGAAAGCTGGGCAGATTTAATTATTTCACAACTATAGACCTGGCAAAGGGTTTTCACCAGATCGATCGGTCATTATGAATATTTGCCATTCGGATTAAAAAACGCACCAGCCACCTTTTAACGGTGCATGAATGACATTTTACGACCACTCTTGAATAAACACTGCCTTGTGTACCTGGACGACATAATTGTATTCTCGACAGTCCTTGATGACCACCTACAATCGCTTAGACTAGTTTTCGAAAAACTAGCAAAGGCCAACCTTAAATTACAGCTTGACAAGTGTGAGTTTCTCCAGCATGAAACCACATTTTAGGACATATTCTAACACCAGACGGAATAAAACCAAACCCTAAAAAGATTAAAGCCATTCAGAAATATCCAATTCCCACTAAACCAAACTAAACTAAACTAATTACATAAGCCGAACGCTTAATGAACACGAGGTCAATTACAGCGCAATTGAGAAAGAACTCTCGGCAATTGTATGGACGACAAAGACTTTCCGACGACGACGAAATCAAAATAGAAACAATACTTAACATATACAATCACAAGACCAAACACGATACCACTGGACACATCCATGCACACATATTTCTCTACACTGGACAACCAATATTAGACACCCAACAAAAAATAGAAAACAAAATAAACAGTGACAGAATGGTAAATGAAGTTCACACTAGATTCAGAAAAGGCCCACTAAGAAAGGCAAATAAGAAAACCCATTTAAACCAACCAAAGATGTAGAACTGACAGACTCTGACCATTTCAAAATCACTAATAGAAATAGAGTTACTCACTACTCAAAACGCAATTTTTAAAAACGAAAGAAAAATAATCAAATTTCAATTCCACAGGTGCCTGGAACTTGATGACATTTTTGCTTATGCTGATCTCCTTTTTTGTAATAAACCATCCTCCTTTGAACATCATTGTTTGAGGATAAACTTAACCGAAATAGACACTGTAGCTGATTATTTTGAAGAAAATCTGCGTACCGACTATCATGCACCCCAAATCAAATTTTTGTAGAATAAGATGAAAAGAGAATTAACTGGAATAACCTTGCAACATAGAAATAAACGTAGACTTATTAACATTGTGGGCTCAGCTTTTAAATACCTATTTGGCACACTTGATGAAAATGATCGAGCAGAAATACAGAAAAAACTTGACACACACACTCCCATGACACAGTGAAGTTACATGAACTTAATGACGCTATACGATTGATAAACGACGGAATGCAGAAGATACAGAAATACGAAAATGACGACAACATCGTTAACACTCTTTTATACGAACTTATGCAGTTTACAGAATACATAGAGGACCTGGAAATGGAAATGCAGCTCTCCAGACTCGGTCTGTTTAACCCCAAATTACTATACTACGATAAGCTACGATAAACAGCCAAAATATTTTGAACATTAAAACACCCACTTGGATCAATTACAATGATAACCAATTATTAATCATATCCCACATACCCATTAACTTTTTATTAATAAGCACAATCAAAATAATCCCTTACCCAGACTCTAACGCTATCAGCTAGAATACACAGATACACAATCATATTTTGAAAAAGAAAATAAAGTTAACAATAACGAAAATAAAGAAATAAACAATGAGTTTGTCCCCCCGTTTTCCCTGCACTGAAACCAGGCTGTTCTGTTGCATCAGCTTGTCCTCGTCCCGTATGTCGGGTCCAGGCTTAAGACACTTCTGCCCTTAACCACCATTTCGAAGCCGGAAACCGCTTCGCCGCCATTGTCGCCATCATCCTCGTCATCCAGGTCGTCCTCGTCGTCATCGTCATCATCCTCGATGAGTCCCTCCGGGATGAAGGCATGGAGTTCTCTGCGGGCTTTTGCAGAATGGGTAAGGCGACAGGTGTGGCACGTTTAGTACTCAGCTCCAGTTGGGACTTCAGAGCACTTTGCTCCTCCTCATCGATGTTCGCTTCGTTTTGTCCTGGGGATGTCAAGAGTCGGGTTACCTTCGTACACTTTCCGGAGATTCAGACGAATGGTCGCCTTGTTCACAAAAAAAACCGGTCGCCGAACGGAAGAGAAGAACCCGCTGCTCCTCCGATTCCACGCCGCCGGGCAGAGCGGCTCCCGGCTTCATCAGACCTGCTAGCCATTGAAGGAGCTCGGCAACTATGTGGAAACTTGCCAGGCTGCCATGCTGATTGGCCAGAGATTGGAAACACGCGCGGGAACCCCAACAGCTTAAGATGTTCCCCCAGATCTGGAAGAGGGTCGGGCTGCCCGTGTTAGGTGGTGAAAGTTGGAGGAGGGAGTCAGTACTCACCTCATACATCCTTGAAGGACATTCCTGGTTTCCGACGAGTTCACCTGTTTTCGATACGCCGGCTGCGCTGGCAATTGCATTTTCCACACCGTTATTTGTTGTGGTCGTGGTGCCTTTGTTTGGCCACCGAATCCACAATTGAAGGTTGCCAAGTTACGGAAAATACATCGCGGGAAAATATAATAACGACCTCAATGCGTAAAGCATTTTTGTGTTTCTAAAATATACTATATTGTTAATATCGAATTTATATTTATTGTCCCACAATATAATTCGTAATATCTATTCTTATGTGGCATGAACGGAATTAAAAAAAAAAATATTACATCAAAAATAATTAAAAGTCACTTCATTTTAATACTTTTTCTATTTTGTTAAATAAAATCAGATTACTGTCATGCTATAAATTTTCTCGTAGTGCTCCTCATTCGATTGCTGTGGTCGGTCATACGCTGTTCACCTAGGAAGTTTACGGTTGAGCGGTTTCATTTCGATCGAAAATGTGGGGGTTGCTAAAAAGGAATTATGAAATACGATATTTGGGATTTTTACGATTTAAATTTGCCCGACAGAGGCGCTTCTCTATCGAATGAAACCTACCTGTTGGCCACATGGCTTCCAGTTGTTCTGTATATCCTTTTTAATAAGCTACTTATAGGATCCTTATAAGATACTTAAAAACGCACAGACTTGACCTAATTTCCGGTCAATTTCAATCTATTCTTTTATGCCTCTGGCAGACTTTAATCAGGGAGAGCTTTTAGTTTCCGCCCTGCGATTGAGGCATCTTAAGAACAGCAGAACTTGTTTTAATATTTGAATACAAAACAGGAGGGCGTGGCAACGTTCTGAAACAAACTTCAGATATGTTTATGTCACTGAAGCCCACATGAATCCGCATCCGTTGATATTGATGGACAGACGGACGACTCGGCTAGTGATCCTCATCGAGAATTCATATCCTTTATAGGGCGTTTTATAGCAAGCGTTTTCTCCTTCGCCAATTTCAAATTTTCAATATTTTCAAACATACAACTTAAGGAAATAAAACCCAACTAAAAGTCATACTTTTTTAAAGGGCTTTGTACGCTGGATTAAACTCATAAGTGCACATTCAACATTCAGAAAAGCGACACTAAATTTCCAACCTTAAAGGGCAACACTTTCGTGATTTGATTTTTCTTTTACCCACAAACATGAGTTTATATACATATTGTATATTGTCGTTTTAGATAAAGTTGTCATAAAATAAAATGATATATCGACTCATTGACAAGCTTCACTGTACGCAGTAGTGGCTACTCTACGACAAAAATAAAAAGGAAACGAAATTTTACTGCTTAAATTGTGTCGTCCATGATATATTAGTGCCCATTTGAATCAAACTTACATTTATCAATTTACCTTCGGCTTTCTGCAAAAACCAGTCAGTTGAGCCACATGATTGGTAATTCCATACTATGTGATTTCGCAAAGTTTATAATCGCATTTTTTAAGTTGAAATATCTATTTTTATGGTCTACAAGGACTTAAATGTATCATTTATATCATTCGCATCATTCTGTAGTTCATTTTAATTTTTATTAAGCTGTAATGTTTCAAATATTATTATGTTGTTATATAGTATGTATCCTCCATTCTAGATTCGTTGAAATTGGACAGGAGATTCCGGATAATACGTAATGTATGTTAACGCATATGTGTATATGATGTGTATTACAAGTTTAATTTGATGGGAAGGTGAAATGAAATGCCTAAGAAATATATACGAAATCGACTGAGAGCTTCCAGCATCTTTTGGTCATCTATGAAATTTGGACACAGCTTATTTTGTAAGATTTGTAATTTATATTAATATTACATTAATATATTATATTAATATTTATCGTTTATTGCTATGAAACTTTCATATATTTTCAGATCACGATGATAATCGACTTATTAAATCACGACTAACCAAAAATCGATTCGACAAAAAAGGAATTTAATTTTTTGGTCAGTAAGACCATTCCAAACTTCACAAAAGGCCGCTAATCAAAGCGATATGATGTCTGAATATGCGCGCACTGAAGAGGAAGTTTGCTAAGCTCTACGAGATCACACAAACTTATTTGTAGATGTAATTGTAATATCTTTATAATATATTTATCAAACCCAAGGTCCGTGTTATGGAAAATAGTTTGTAATAGAAATTTGAGGAAATGGTAGATACATGTAATTATGTTAGCATGCAAAGGGCTAGGACTGCAGATTTCTAAATTTCTTTGCCTTGGACACAATGCAGGGAAAAATTTCTTATATCTCAAAAATGAGAAAGAAAGTAAAATAAGAGGTTTAAATTTATTAACTAGTTAAAGTGTACTTTAGGATATAAAAACGGACTTACAGAAAAGGCCGTCTTTTGGAATTAATCGGTGCAAGTGTTGTATTCAATCAGTCAATTGGATGTTGCATTGGATTATGTGAAATATACAAACATACATATGTAGACATATGAACACATTTAAATACGATAGCAAAAGTTTCTATCCGATTGGTTTCAGTAGGATTTTCCTTTTCTTTTCCAGTGACAGCTGAACAGGTTTCAAGGAAACCCTGTCAGGTTGTGTGTTTACATCTAACCTAATATTCTCAGAATCGTCTGCATATTGTGATAGCCAGAGCTATGGCTCCAAGGAAGCGCATCTCGAGGATTGCATCGCGGAGTGTTGCTGCAGTGGAGCAGGCGAATGAGAGCACCAACAGCCACTCGGTTGCCACCCAAACCGATGTCCCGGCTGCGGGTCCGTCGAAGCGCAAGAACAAGTTCAAGCCGCTGGCCTTGAGGCCACCGCCGCCCCAGCACTTGGCTACCAACATGATGCCGGCGGTCAATCCACATGCACTGGTATTAGCCTTATCCGAAATAATAATGGGGCAGTCACATGGATTCCCATCGTTTGTGCCCAGCCCAAATGAGAAGTCCTGCCAGACGGTGGCCAATGGGCTAGCTGACACGGGCGATCGGATCATCATCCCTAATTCCGACGAACGGCAGATAAACTACCTGAAGTCTCTGGTGAGAAATCGCCGCGAAGAGGCCAACCTCTGGGATCGTAACCGTCTGAAAATGCTGCTGGCCCAGATCAACGGCGACCCACCGCCGCGCTGGAACTCGGCCACCCAGATGTGGCTAGAGGTTGACAGGCTGGAGCAGCGCATAGAGGCCTTTGACCGCATGGAACTTCTAACTGCCAAGAAGCGCACGGTGGACGTGAGCCTGGATGATAGGCAGGAGGAGGGCCAAAATGAGAGTCAGGATGAGGAGCAGGATGGGGAGCAAGATGAGAGAAAGGAGGAGGTGCCGGCAAATGGTCAGGATGAGCGGAAGACATCAGCAGGGACTTAGAAAGTCGCGCCTTACATACACTGCCCATTTTTCCAATAGCCCACAGTTCACACTACACTACTAATAATATCTCCCAATCCAGATATCCAATATTAAAAATTCAATGGCTGATGGTTTACAACGTACATCACGAGGAACTTACAAATAAATAGAAACATACTGCATTCATTTCCAACACACACAAAATGCATTATTCATTCATTCATTATTCTGTGAGCAATCTTAAAACTCCCCACAAATCGAGGTGCAGGAGAGCTGCCTAGCAACAGCGAAGAAGGCTGGAATGCAGGAGGAGTCAAGGGCAGCCAGGTCAAACGGGACCTTGGACCCCGGCAAACCGGAGAGACCGTGAACTAATGGTACCGCGCTGGACCTTGGACTTAAGCCGACAAAGGGCACAGAGGTCGACCGGTAACGGTGTGGATTTCGGTCGAGCACAAAGAGGACGCACCGTGAACTAACGGGACCGTGGTTGGACCTTGTACCCGAGCGGGCCGTACGCAAAAGGGGAAATAACGGAATCCCCGCGGACTATAAAAGGGACGGCGCATGCCCAGATCGGAACAGTCAGCCAAACACGCGTAAGTCTTACATGCAAGAGGATAATTGGATAATCCCAGTTAGTGGGAATAGACGAAGAGCTATACCCCGGGACAGGCAGTCAGTGAGAATAGGTGAAGTGCTATTCCCCGGGACCGACAGAAGATCTGCGAGTGAGAGAAGGTGTTAGACTCGCACCCGTCAACAAGTCGACAAGTCTCTGTGAACTTGGCATTGTCAGAAGGGTCAGTGGTCGGCAAAGGTGGTTCGGAGAAGGACGTTGGCTTTACCCACGGATGTGACACCTCCCGCCATAACATCCTAAGCCACAAGCCTAAACACGGGACCACTGTCGAGGACGCCGCAGGACATCGAAGGATATCAGGCAGTGCACAGGAACCTGGCACGGTCAGAAGGGACGATGGAGTCAAAGGTCGGTCAAGGTGGTCCGGGGAAGAGCGTCTGCTTGACCTAACGGGCGATACACCTTCCCACCATAACACGGTAAGCGGTGGAGACTGTAGAAGTCTATCGTTGAAGAAGTCAATAAAATAAATCGAAATATGTTCGAATCTAAAACTCTGTCTTCTCTTTGGTCGGGCATCATAAATTTGGTAGGACGAACAAACAAACTTTCTGAGCTAGCCGTTTCAATTCGTAACGAGCAGAACCCAGAAAAACAGTTCGTTACAATTCATTATTCAAAATGAATTCATATCCTTAGAAGATTCATTGCCTGAACTCTTGAAGCTGTGATCAGTGAATAAGTTTTTAGAAATGGTGGAATGTACCCAGCCCATGGGAAATGGTAATTGAATCATGTCTTAAAGTAAATGCAACGGTTTATGGATGTTGAGTTACCGTAAGTTAGATGCACCAATATGAATGTCGCATGTAACCATTGATGACTAAAACTATTGTTTAAGCGCATTTTTAGCGACCTTTCTTATGCGTTGAAAGTGTTTTTTGGGAGGAGCCTTTGAAATGCAGACGACCCAAGTCAGTCTTCATTCCTGGCAGCCATAAGATTCAGTCTGTGACTTTTAATTGCAATTCAAGTTTATCCCCAGCCACACCACACACTCACCAGTACACTCACACCCCCGGCACATCTTGCTGGGATTGGTATTGGGCTTTTGTCCATGCTTGACTCTTGCATTTTTAAGCAGCATATGGCGGGGACCAGGTGGCGATGGTGGCGAAGGATGCATTCGCTCCCCATGTCAGTTGGCCCGCATTTGACGAATTTTCACGCGTCACGCATTTACAGCAACCATAGAGCCAGGCAGCTGGTTCTACCAACTCCATTGTCCTCGTCATTTGGTGGCCGGCGTCGGCTTGCATGTACTTATGTCAATATGTGCATATATTTGCATAGCCCCGGTTTTATAGATTTATTAGCCATCTTTCGACCCTTCCAAGAACATTGCAAAGTGGCCAATGTAGACAGCCTTATTTGGAACGACTAAAGAAAATGAGTGGTCCTTTCCCTATTTGCTCAACAAAGGCTAAATTAGGCATATAAATAAAGTAATTAAGTGAATTGCCAAATATATTTATTTTAGAATGGCGTTCGCATTGGTATCAGAAAACAAGTGCTCCTGCAAGCAGTTTCAGAGCCACCTAACCTGTATAAATTAATTCATAAGTAGTGGATTAGGGGACGGTCCCCCGCTGCAGTCACTATACTTTGGCCTGTAGTTCCTATGTTAGATTAGGAAGATTATGTTGGAAGGGGGACTACCCTTCTTAACTGCTGGCCTAGAGACACAGTCAGCTTTCAAAATGATAGAAGATATTTAACGGCTGTTGCCGGAGTAATTAGCTCTTTATTAGAAGAGGTCTCGCTTAGAACTGAATACAAAGAATATGAAAAGTATGGATCTACTCTAGCTCCAATGCATCACGCCATAAACCCATGGTCGGCAAGCCGACTCAGCATTTATGCAACATAGCTCGGTACCCCGGATAAGGGGTGTCCGATTGCCGTTGCTGACCGTTCGAACGCGGAGCGCTGAACTCAGTTGGGGCGCGTCAGCATTGTTTAAATATAGCTGTGCTCTTAGTTGTTAACTTATATACGGCTGCAGTGGTGCTAGGAGGCGGTGTACGCGGTCTAAATGGATCACTAGAAGAGTTGTGAAACCGCTTTGGCCAGTCGCTGAAAGAGCTCACATTTAAGTAGTTAAATTTAAATAGTTCTATTCAATTTCAAACTTACCGTCAGGCAGCAGCTGAGTGCCAAAAAGAACAGCAGAAAGAAGCGCATCTTGATGCCAAATGCCTGCCATTGGACCCGAAAATCTGGATTTTATGGCCTTTCTCTTTGTTTATCTTAGTCGAAAATGATAAATAAAGCTGTATAATGCTTGTTAAATTAGTTCGCCCATTATAAAGCTTGTAATTGGCAAGTTGATTTTTCCATAATATTATTTCATCAAGTCCACAGTTATTATGTGCACTCAAGCCTTCATTTTTCGGCAAGGGAATTTGGCTGGAAGTTCGCACTTATTTGTTTGCTTTCATCCGCATGTGAACATATGTACATGTGTTACTACATACTCGTATGGTAATAGAAAAGCAATTTTCTATTTGGGTGCAGAAAAAGAATTAAAGAAGTCCTAAAATTTAATAATTTGCTCACGAAATAGTTTTGATTTATCAATTGAAAGGTTAGGGAGAGGGTTTAACAGGGTTATGTCATTAAACATTTAAAACCAATTTGTAATTTTGAGTCAGTTCACACAGGTTAAATCCAATTAATAATATAAAAATAGAAGGAAACAAAATGATAAGAGTGACTCAAGGTAAAATTGAAATCAATAGATTAATTTCAAGTGAAAATCTTTTAAAACCAGAAATAGATTTGACACCATTATACACACCACTTACCATAACAAAAATAAAAACTGTAAAACACAACGACATTGATGAAATGATTTCACAAAACAATGTTACACTTTACATATTATTGACTATTGTCATTACACTTTTTTTATTGTACTTATATTTAAGATACGTATCGTTTAACCCATTCATGATGTTGTACGCAAAATTAGAATTAAGAAAAATCAAATAGAAATGGAAGAAGCTCCATTACATTATATCCATCACTCCCTGCCCAAGTATAGGCTTCTCTTTAAGGTATAACAAATTCTTTGGCAACGGCACTTATCCATTCATGTAAACAAATCCCAAAGCCTAACCTAAGCAGTTTTGCCT